GGGAATTATTTCAGATATCTATTTTCTCACGGAAAATGACATCGAAATGATAAAATGTACCTCAAACTATTGATAATAAAAGTAAACTACGAAACCGCATTTGATAGCGATTTCCGTTCCCAGACTAGTATTCGATTTTTTTACATATCTCCGAAAACCGCAAAAAGCCGCAGCTAATTTTTTTATATGTTTTAGATGAGTAACTAACCTATAATTTAACATTAAATTCAAAGCATCGGTAAACAACTCTAAATGTTAAAAGATTCGACGAAGTTGAGGAAAAAAAAATATTTCTCCATTTTTTCTTTAAATTGGTTTTTAAATTTATATTCGTATTAAAAACAATCAATTGTATTTATTTCTAACCTCTGATAAATGTGCTTTTCAAAAATATATAATACCTTATACCTTTCATTTCAAGTTTTAAAACTATTTCACGTTGAAAAACGTAAATGAAGAACTTAATATTTCCCAGCTGCCTAAACGTTTAACTTTGCTACATGAAAAAAAATATTTTTACGAAATAAAATATGAATTACGCTGCAGAATATTAAACTTCGACTTTTGAACTATTAAATTATATTCATATATTACCCAATTTCAATCAGTAATAAAAATCAATTTTGATATGCGTTTGTTCTACCATATTCCACCGTGCGCCGATCAGTACGGCAGAGGCGCAATTTTGTAAAAGGGCTCATAGACACCTACGGTGTTATAACAAGTGTAGTTACTCTTTTGTAACTTCGAATTTTCTTTTTTATCAAAAACTATTTTTACTTGCAACTTAAAATGTTTTTCATGATTTATAAGGGCCGTAGTTCTTAATATTAAAAAAGTTCACTTCATTTGTGAAATTTTTTATTAGTGTGTTTTATTTATTATAAAGTGTTTTTGATAATTGAATTTAAAATTTTCTGGGTACACAGCTGTCAGTAGTTAATCTACGATAGTGCAGGTAAAGTGATTTTGACAAAGGTCAATTATGAGATTGGTGATCAATAAATGATGATGATCTGAAGCTCCATGCTTCGGAATTTGTGTAAAAAGCCATCGGTCCCGGTGCAACCTGAGGAAGAGCATCCACCAATCAGAATGGTTCAAGATGCTGGATTATGGGCTGTCCTCTGTATGTTATTTTTTCTATAGGAAAGTCCTGTACCTCAGTATCATCATCATCATCATCAACCCATGTTCGTCCACTGCTGGACATAGGTCTCCCCTAATGCACGCAACTGCTCCCGATTTTGTGCTATTCTCATCCAGCCCACTCCAGCCAGCCTACGAATATCATCATCCCATCTTGTCTGAGTATCCTACACTACGTTTACCGAGTCGTGGTCTCCACTCAAGAACTTTCCGGCTCCAACGGCCATCAGTTCTGCGGCTAATGTGCTAATGTGTAACGTGCGCACCTTAGTATAGGAAACATCAATTGGCTGATGATCATGGGCCATCAGTAATTAAAAAAACAAATAAAATACTAATAAAAATTACTAGTACCTAACCTCGTATGTCACGAAACTGGCGCGATAAATATCCCTTTCTCCAATGTAAATCACGCCGAATAGCAAAATAAATAACTTAAAAAAAAAGGTTTATATTCCAGCCTACCAGCCAGTTATCTTTCGAAGGCGTCGCAACACGAATAAATTTGCTCGGTAATCGTTCGCAAGGGCAAGGAGTTATTTGAGATAGCCCCTTTTTGACGGCGCTTGGCATTTTGCTAAAAAAGCCTTTCGTCTCAATTTGTCACTTAGCAAAATGTTATTTTAGTTATGTTTTAAGCATTTAACTGCTAGATGTTTTAATCTAAAGAAAAGTTTACTAAAGAAAATATAACTAGAAAAAAATCCACGCGGACCAGGCAGCAGACGGGACTCGAACCCCCACCCTTCGCAATCCGGGCGAATGCACTGACCAATTATGCTACCGCGGCCCTCACGGACCGCGTCGAAATTCTTCTAGCCATTCTTAAACTGCAAGGCAGCGCCATCTCTTCTCATTATAGGTAACCCACAATGTCAAATGAATACTTTTACAAGTATTAAACATTTGAAAGAAGAAATAGCAATGATAGTTATAATTTTTATTATTTTAAAATATGTAACTGCTTGATGTTTAAATCCAAAGAAAATATAACTGGAAAAAATTCCACGCGGACCAGGCAGCAAACGGGACTCGAACCCGCACCCTTCGACGACACGGCCGTCAGGGCCGACGTAGCATAATAGTCATTGCATTCGCCCGGATAGCGAATGATGCGGGTTCGAGTCTTAAGATTTAAATATCTAGCAGTTAAATGCTTATAAATAAAAAAACATAACTGTAATTGCTATTTCGTCTTTCAAATGTTTAATACTTGTAAAGGTATTCATTTGACATTGTGGGTTACCTACAATGCGAAGAGATGGCGCTCCTTGCAGCCTAAGGGTAGAGAAAATGTTAGTTTGTTTATTTTTAATGTAAAGATCCAGACTAGTGTGTCTGTCTCTTCACGCTTAACGTGCTGAACTGATTTAGATGAAATTTGGAACAAAGATAGATCGAGTCCCGGAAAAGGATATAGGATAGTTTTATCCGAGAAATCATGAGAGGGGTGGAAGTTTACGTATTCTCATTGATTTCATCAGAAAATGCCTAAATTAATTTTTCTCAAATTAGTAGTAATAAGTTTAAGTGAAAACTTTGACTAGAAATGAAAATTCTCAAATCTATGTTTATACAAAATTTCATGAAATAAGGTACACAAATTCGGCGGAACTGCTCCGCGTACTGTCATAAAGATCAAATCAGCCAGGAGTCAATCGCCTAACGGGACTGTGTAAATGTGACATGTGACTATGGTTATGGCTATCGCTATCGGATATGATTTCATTTTGTTATTTCAGACCTTCTACGGTTCAAATACGGTTTCAAGGTACCTACTCGAGAGGTCCCGGGTTCGAATCCCGGTGGGGGCAGATATTTGTGTGATGAATTTAACATACTTAAATTATACCTGGATTAATGTGGTCTCCCGTATATTGGCAGTTGCTTCTTCAGACAGGCGCTTTTTTTTTATACACACACCAATTAGCCTAGCCCCAAAGTAAGCACTATAAGGCTTGTATTATGGGATGCTAGGGTAACGGATAGCATATATATACTGTACATATATAAGTATATTTATATAGAAATACATATTAAACATCCATGACTGGAGTACAAATGCTCATGTTCATCACACTAACATCTGCCCCCACCGGGATTCAAACCCGGGACCTCTCGAATTGGCGACACCATGAAACCCGGCGTACAAACCACTCGGCCACGGAGGTCGTCAATATTTGTTGTTTTAATCGGAAATAAATATTACCAACACTCACACCGATTAGCCTAGCCCCAAAGTAAGTACTGTAGGCTTCTGACATGGGGCTACTAGGGTAACGTTTCATTTTCATCATCAGCCTATTAATGTCTCCACCGCTGCAGCATAGGCCTTCCCTATGGATGGAATAGGGAGAGTCGGCCATGACCCACCACGCTGGCCCAGTGCGGATTGGTGGGTGCTAACGACTGCAGATACAGCCGAGACCAACGACTTAACGTGCCTTCCGAAGCACGGAGCAACTCGAGATAGTAAATTTTTGGTCACCCATCCAATGACCGACCACTGCGAAAGTTGCTTAACTTCAACGATCGCAGCTGATCGCGCTAACCACTTGCGCCATCGAGCTCCTCTAAGCAGCAGTAGTCGGGTTCAGCAGTAGGGTAAAAATTCAAAATTCATTTATTCAGTCTAGGCTGTTACAAGTACTTGTGAATGTCGAAAAGCTACGACCTCGGTTCGCGGTACGGCGGGAGACCTTGCTCTGAGCAGAACCGGAAAGATACTGAGCAAGGGTTGTTTGTTTTTATGTCTGTCCCTGTTCGTCTTCTTAAAAACAGAGTCATCAAGTTGAAACATCGTCAGAGTTAATTAAAAAAGTCCTAAGCTTTTATTAAGCTCTCACAGAAGCAAAACATATCCAATAGAATTTTTAAATGATTTTAAAGTACTTTTCGTTATTGTTAAAATTCTTTATCGAATACAAAAAAACACGACGAAAGCGAAACTTTTAAAATCAGTACTGAAAAAAGTCCCTCCTCGGCTGGAATTCGAAGCCGGAACACTCGCGTAGCGGGCGAGCATTCTGCCACTCAACCACCTACGCTTGGTGATAAAGTCTGTTTATTTTAAAAAAATGCAAGGCGACATGCTAAATGAATGAACGGTAAAATTCGGCGAAGTAAATAAAAAAATTACCTTTAAAATAACGGTTTTTAGCTAAGAAAGCAATGATGTAATTTAGAATAATACAGAAAACGAAAATATAATATAATTTTACTCGAGTCTTATTACGAAATTAAGTAAAACCGTTTAACAAAACAGCGTTACGATTAAGTTTCTGTTAAGTAAGAGTCTGCAACTTGAAGTACTTATCATTTAAAATTGAAATAAACGCATTTTGCGGAGTTTCATTGTAAGGTACGGGGCTTATACAAAATAATTGTTTTAATTAAGTATGTAAAGAAATACTAATATTAAAGTTTATATAAGTACTTAACTTTGCGAAATTTCCTATTTTTGTGTCGTTATTTGTATTTTGTAAAAACTTTGTTAATATAGTGGTGAAAATATTACACAAGTATTTTAGCTCCTAAAAAAATAAATATTATATAATTAAAATATTGGTACAGTATATTTTAAACCAATTAAAATAATGTTTTTTTATATAAAAATACATCAACCTATATTATACGTATCTATCATACCTATTTTATGAATATTTTTAAGTTTAAGTGTGTTAAGTGTACCTACTTAATTAACGAGCCTTCGAAGACAGGTATAAAGATCCGGCCTTAATTAGCTTTTTGTAGGAGAAAAACAAATATTATCTATTCATTAACGCAGTAAATTAATTGAGAGTTCTAACATGGCGTCCCTAAAAAACCAAAGAAAATATCATCTAAATTACCTTTAGAGACCATCCAAATATTTTCATAAAACTTTTCACAGCATTTATGTTAAATTTCCACTTTAACTATTCTGTACTCTTTATTTTCAAATAAATTCTAAAATCTAAAGTCTCACTTTTATTTAAAAAAAGATAAAAGTCAATCTATGTTTGGTACACTTTCACATTTCAACACTCTTCGAACAAATTAAAAACACAAATTGAAAACTCACATTGCACATTCAAAATTGGAATACGCAGCGCGATACATGTTCGAATTTCGAATCTGACAGCCGTCCGAACAACACAGGGGCTCAAAACGCACTGGTTTGTCTATTCCTTGGGAGCGGGAAAGGGACGGCTGTATAGGGGCGAAAAGAGAGGGGTTGGTTACGAAATCTTAGTAGAGCTTATAAGCTGTCCGCAGAAATACTGAGAAGCGGCTACCAGCTACTTGAACGGCCGGTTCCGGTAATATAAATATTACTTTCAAGAAGCGAATTTCATGGTTTAGTCAATCCAAAGTATTTTTTCATGTTAAAACATTCACATTGAACTAGGTAGTAATATTTCAAACATTAGAAATGTATATATTCACTGTTGTACAGTTAGTAATTAGATTAACAATTTTTTTTTTTAAATTATACTCATCGCCAAAATTTTTCGATCATCTTGCATGTTACATTTTAAATATAAATTATTAAGAAATTCAGACCTTATCATCAAGCATCGGTGTTTCAATAAGCAGCCCGTGTTCGATTCCCAGCCGAAGAAGGACCTTTTCGTGATTTTTTTATTAATAAGAAATATTTCTAACACACACCAATATCAGCCTAGAGCCAATGTAAGCACTGTAGGCTTGTGTTATGGGATACTAGGGTAACGGATAGAATACATATATTGATACATATACAGGGCGTCCCACGGCAACCTCACACGGAGGGAAAGTATATTAAATATTGAAGATAGGATATTTTACTGAAACAAGACATCATTTTATTTTTTATAATAAATAAAACTGCATTCACAGTTTTTTTTAAATCGCCTGTTACAACTGGAATTCACGACATATTTTATTATAACTATCGAAAGGGTTAATCATAAGCATTATTTTTTATTTATTAGATAGCATTTTCAATGAAAAAAAAAAGTAATTAAATAGAATATAAAAACTGATACGTGTGTATGATACAATATTTATATAGAAAATACATATTAAACATCCATGACTGGAGTACAAGGCGGCACTTTGAAACCCGGCGATTATACCACTTGGCCACGGAGGGCGTCAAATATCTATATAAATAAAACTCAAAGGTGACTGACTGACATAGTGATCTATCAACGCACAGCCCAAACCACTGGACCGATCGGGCTGAAATTTGGCATGCAGGTAGATGTTATGACGTAGGCATCCGCTAAGAAAGGATTATGATCAATTCTACCCCCAAGGGGATAAAATAGGGAATGAAAGTTTGTATGAAACTTTGTCAATTTTAAACAGATCGGGCTGAGACTTTGCATGCAGGTATAAGAAGAATCATAGATGAATGTCATTGTGTATAATACAAGCCTGAGAACAAAAATGAGTAATAATTATGAGCGAGTTTTAATTTAATTTAGCAAACTCACAATTATAAAAATTATACTCAGTAAGTTTTATTCGTACAATAATATAACTTTTAGTTTTTGGCGAGTGTTCTGAGTAAACGAAATAGAGTGAATGTGAAGAATTTTTAAAGTGATTTAATCAAGTGAAACTGGCTTCTTAAGTATTTCTAATTTGAATTAATTCGTGCTTAGTAAAATTTTTGATGAAAAATTGTTGTGATTCATGTCTAGGCATCTAGACGGGCAAAATATTTTTTGAATAAATAATGACCTGTCCATTTAGCAGCCGTAGGTACTTTGTCAAAATTTAGAACAAAAATAGTATTAACGTTAAGTAAGTTGGAACAAAAGATATGATAGCATGCAAATTGGCATAGCTAGGTTTGTTCTTTAAAATCAGATCGTGGAAGTTAAGCAACTTTTGCATTAACCAATCTTAGGATGGGTGACCAAAATTTTTTTATCTCGAGCTGAAGATATTCTATAATCTATTGGTACCGGCTGAATCTGCAGTCGTTTGTTCCTATTTTTTATTTTTTTATATAAGTCCGACATATGTTTCCGCCCCACCTGATGTTAAGAGACGGTGAAGTCCAGACGTGAAGATAGCTGGTACAGCAGTCCTAACTGCCACACCAGCCAACCTCAACTTGCCGGCCTGCATGTCTAATGCCCCCACTGCTGAGACACGGGCCTTCCATATGGATAGAATAGGGAGATTAGGCCATGACCCACCACGCGGGCCCAGTGCGGATTGCTGGGTGCTAACGAATGCAGATGCAGACCAACGGCTTAACGTGCCTTCCGAAGCATGGAGGAGCTTGAGGTAGAACATATTTGGTCACCCATCCAATGACCGACCACTGCGAAAGTTGCTTAACTTCAACGATAGCAGCTGAACGCCCTAATCACTTGTGCCATCGCGTTCCGCTAATAGATTGCTGCCAACCAATAAAAACAAAAAAAAAAACATATTTTGTTATTGCTTTTAAAACTAGAATTCTTTAAAAATGCTTTCCGTTCACTACGTTCATACTTCAAACAAACATAAACCGAACGGGGAACTCGATTCGATTTTTTCTCGTACGTTGTGAGTGTTGCCAATTGTTGAAACTTTGATTGGTAATTTTCAATCGATAAAAACTTTTAAAAACAGAGCGTATTCCTTCCTTCAAGGCCAGCACCGCATTTGTGCTACTCCTCGTGTTGTAGGTGTCTATGGTCGACGGTGATCACTGACTATAATAAAAAAGGTGTCGTAGCTTCACTACATAGTATTCCGCTGTTTGTCCCTATGTATGCTTAGATCTTTAAAACTACGCAACGGATTTTGATACGGTTTTTTCAATAGATAGAGTTATTCAAGAGGAAGGTTTATATGTATAATACATGCATAATATAGTAGAAAAACACTGATATTTTTAGAGGCTTTTAATATGAGGTCGTAAATAAACACATTTTTTTGCGCTTACATTGCAAACGCTGGCTGAACCCTACGAGATAGATCAAAATAATGTACTACAATATTGTACACCTTAAAAACATCTAAACAAAATCTGCAATGGTATATGTCTATCTCTTAGGGGTAACCCACGATAACCATTTTTCATCCTATACTTTTTACGAGAAATAATAGATTATTTACGAAGCAATTTTCAGCATTATAACATTCATCCTTATCCAATTAAGTACCTTAAATACATTGTGCATTTAATATAGACAAAATTTGGCCCTTTAACGCATGTAATTTAAACGAATATTTTCGAAGATATTACAGATTTAAAATGCAGGGACATAGCGGTTCCGACGCTATCGGGCAGGGGGGCTGGCGGCGCGTGCTTATTGTAATTAAGTATTAAAAGAATGTCATTGTGTATAATACAAGCCTGAGGATAAAAACTATAGTCTACACTACAGCTCTACACCGAAGTGAAGCGAGGGCGGGCCACTAGTTAAATATAAACGGACAACTTTAGTATAAACTCATAAGCTTGTTTAACGGAAAGGAGATTGCTCAGCTTCCATACATGTTTGGCCTAAAGACCAATAATCATCACAAAATTGTTTCCTAGATTCGAAATTATATATAAATTACTGTAGAAACGAATATTATTGACGGACACCCCTGAGAACTTTTATAAACCATATACACCGAACATATTAAAATAATAAAAAACAAATAAGTTATATAGTAAACTAGAGAAATCAAGCCAAGTACCGAAATTATGGATTAGATTCAGGTATATAGAGCATGTAGATTTGCCTGTTTTTAAAGTTAATGCATAAAAGTAACTTATAAAATCAGGTGTCATCTATGCATTTCCGGTTATAATAAGGTACTCTGTGACAGAAACTCTGTGATGATTGTGAATGAGCCACAGATAAGAGAGAATTTTTAAACTCTCGTTAACCAAAGAAAGCTAAGAGATTAAGGTTATATAGCCATATATTCAGTAGCTTCATTATTTTTGTTATGTTTTTAATATAAACATATATATATATATATATATATATATATATAATTTTATTTATTTATTAATTTATAGTCAGGCAACGTAGGCCCATAGATAGATACCTTAAAGTCTAACATACGAGTATATACAGATTATAATGTGTTTATGGAGGTGTTTGGCGAAAAATGTATGGCAATAGACTTTTTGATGTCACCTACCATCTATAATAATTATCTGAGCACATTTGTGGATATTAATACCATAGTGTAATAAAAAAAATGATTTATTTTATCGATCTTTACAAAATAGATTTGTTTTTATGTTATATAAACAACTTCGATCAGTCTTTGGCTGAATGTTACTACACCCATAGCCATTTAAAAATGATCCGTATATTTTCCGAACCGGTAAAATTAAAAGTCTTTTTTAAAGTTAATATATTATACAAAGGTGTCCGTTGAAATCTAATGATTGTATATTAAATTATAAATTACGCCAAGAATTACCGTGTATGTCAATATTTTTTGTGCGTTTGGGCCAATTTGAGCAATCTCTTTTCCTTACCGGTTTTGAATTCTGTGCCTTTAGCACGAACCACTATCGAATTAGAATAGTTTGCGAGTTCGAAATGTCATAGTCCGCTAGATGTTTACTTATATCTAAAGCAAATGTTTTTAGAAAAAAATCCAATTGACATTGTGGGTTACCTACAATGCGAAGAGATGGCGCTGGCTGGTAGTATAATGGTCAGTGCATCCGCCCGGATAGCGAAGGGTGCGGGTTGGAATCCCGTCAGCTGCCTGGTCCGCGTGGATTTCGTTTAGTTAAATTTTCTTTAATTATAAACATCTAGGCTGTGTTTAAATATATATATATATATTTATATAAAATCACTCCAATCATACCTACACCGTGGAGCCCCATTTTTTTTTATAACGCAGGTAAAAAATTTTTTTACAGACGACGGCGCCTTTAAGAGGCACACCGCCAAACGGACCTCACACCTGGCTCCCGCAAGTCTTACGGACCCCCAAGTGGCTGACCACCGGGGACCCCGCAACTCTTAAGGGCGCTTTTCAGCATAATATCCGCTAAAAAGTCCTGCTAATACCTTCTGTACTCCGTTAGGGATTCTACCACGACTCCGCACCAAGCAGCTTCCCGGCCTCGACCCCGTGGAGCCCTGGAACCTTACTCACCGACAGAAACACAACACCACCAAAAGGGAAATGTTATTCTTCTTTACTTCTTTTATGAACTGTCATACTATAAGAAAAGCCCATATTTAAAAAAGCTTA